AAACATTCAAATTTGCCGCTTCGCCGGTCATGAATAATTAATAATGTCCAGGCATTCTACCCGATGATGTAAATATCAAGAAAACAACGATTTATGCTCGTTAGTTTCGGGTTCAGTATGTGACCTAATGATGGAAGAAATTAAAAAAGCGCAAAAACCTTTCAATAGTAAGCTTGCTCGTTTAGTTTCACAACAAGAAAACACATCTTAGACAGCACTGGAAGTAACTAACAGTCCGTTGGTATCAAACCTTTCCTTGCTGCAGCCTTGTGTACTGCTCAAAAGGACTGCACATCTTTATTCAAACTGTTACAGTTCTACTCTTGGGATAATCCAGGTGTATATCGAACACGACCAAACATTCATCAAAGTCACAGCTGCTTGGACCATTGTTACCAATAACTCTATAATTAAGTTGAAGAATAACCCTTACCATCAGGGCCCGTGCTGAGGTCCACATTACTGAGTACTCCATTTTCGTGGTTAGGTCCTGCATCCTTAGCACCAAATGCTTTGTTTAGTGGATACAAACCAACTGGCTTGGGTATAGCTGCAAAAATAACGACAAACAGCACTGAGACAGCTCTTACTATCTTTTTTCACTTAATTGCTCTCCTCTTAGTGTCGTAAGGTTGTCCAATTCTAAGATGACTTGTAAAAAGAGAGCTCTCTTGATAACGATTCCATTAGTCCGACTGAATGATATATATAAAAATGCCACGCGAGAAGTCGTTCAATCCTTTATATTCACATCATTCGGAATAACCGTGACGGTGTCGAATACTGAAAAATGTTCGAGCCAGTGGCAAACAATCATACACATTTTGACTGACAACGTCATCTCCTGGCCAGAGCTACTTCATACCTAGAAAACTGACACCAGATTAAGCAAATGATCGGTTTTATGAATGATGGGTCTGTGTTTGGTGGCGCTAGATTCAACTACTCCACGATTAGTAAATAGCCAGCTGGTCAGCCTATCACCAACTGGGATTTTTAACAAGTTTATGTTCAATTTTCAATATTTGTTTGCTTATTTCAGTGTCCCCAATTAGTACAGTAGTGCTAAACACCTCGACACTCAATAAAGTGATTTAATTTTTTAATTTTTAACAAGATGCCATCCTCACATGCGAAATGAGTACAAACCTTCTTCCTCTGAAGATGGCCCAGGACCAGTTCTTCCATCTGCGGAAACATTTATTCACATAAATAAGAACTTACAATAACCAGATTACACACTGCGATTTTCACCACAATATGTTTTTCGTTTGGTCATTTCTTTTTATTCACATTACATTCTTTCGCATCTAAAAAGTCCCGTGCCGCTTTGTCCCGGGCTTATTTAAGGTTGGTTTAAAATGTATTGAAATTTGAGAACGTCAAGGGATTTTTGTTTGCATTTAATTACTGGTGCAAATGTTCTCTCACCATTCACTGTCCACTAATCGAAAGCTTTTTAGGTTAAATGACATGCATCTTTCGAACACCATAAACAGAGCATTAACGCTTTCCCCTTTTATCTTGGCAAAATATTTTTCTTTGATATCATTCATAGCCTTTAGTTTATCATTCCTCTTTCTTTCATTATTGATAATGCACGATATATGTTGCGATGTTTCCTGATCGATAGATTATGCCTTGATATTCATCTTCCTAGTCTACTGTCACTCACCTGGTAACCGCCAGCTCAAATGTACTCTTTTGATTGGTCCCTCAAAATGACCACTAGGAAGCTCGACTGCCACTGATGCACAGTCAGCCAGCTTATCTGCCTTCTGATATGCCTCGAGGTAATAATATTTACCTTTCTTCAGGTGAATACGTTCAGACTTCTGTTCCGGGAATCTTCAGAAAAAACAACATCCAATATTATTCCCTAGTCATTGCTATTTCGACGACCTATATAGCATGGTAACCCGTCAACCAATACTGAACTAATTATTTGTAAAATGAGTGGATCTGATAGCTTCTTCACATTAAATATTACGATACTAATTATGATAATCCATTTTCGCATATTCCAAAATATTATCCAGTTTCACAAAATGGTGTTTACTAGCCGAAATTGCTTAATTGCCGACGTTTGCACAGCTGAAGGGTCCAAATTACCCTTGCATCTCACATCTTCGAAACTCCTCATCAATGATATTCTCGTCAAAGTGATATTTACCTGAATATCGTTGCAAGGTTTGGCAAAAGATATCAAATACAATTTCATCTCGCGTGAACTAAAAAAAAACTTTTGAAATTTCAGTTTAATGGACAAATATTAACGTTTCTGTTGTAATATAGAACTACCGTTTTTAACTTACTAAGATATTTCTTCGGAAAACCTTTTTCTAGACTTACTGATTGTCTTTCTTTTAAGGAAAACACATATTCGCTAGCAAACATGAGACTGCACTAAGTAAATTACAGATCGGGTCATTTCTCTTGAAATGTGACGGCGCCACTCTTTTCGTTCTGAGTGAAATGATCTATTTTCTCCGGTAACAACCAAACTTGTAATTTAATGGCTGCAAGGATTAATTCATATTGAAGAACCTTTGCAGCTTTGAATCCCCACTTCTGCCGCCAATCGAAAAGGTAAATATTGCAGTTTATTTTTTTTTGATATTTTTTGTCTTTTGTTCTCAGATGAATGCTATTTTGTAGGTCAGATTCTGGTTTCTAGGTAACAAGCGATATCAGCAAGCATGTTTCTCAGCATACGGTCACAAAATTTACTACTAAAACATACTTAGCATCTCATTAACCTATTGGGTCCTTATCGAGGTTTTTCATGTGTGATAAATGGTAACGAATGACGTTTAAGATTTGTCAACTATATTTATCTAGAAAGCAAATAAGAAAAACAAAAGGTAAACAGTACATGTCCCTACATTGAGATAACAGCAGGCTCACATGCGAAAAGAAAATTGACTCGCATCGAGCATGAATATTTCTCACGAAATGTTGATTAAGTTTTAATTTCTTATTGAAGAAAAGCTAATGGATATGGATGTAAGGAAACTCAACTCTCGTTACGCAGGAGGGAAAAAGTTCTATACGCGAGCGAGCCAAGAAGAAGAGAAATGTTTTCCAGCAATAACAAATAATTATCAGTATGAAAGACAGAGAAAAACAGAAACGTCCTTCCGCGATCGAAGTCAGCAAGAAACCAAGACAACCCTAAAGCAAGAAAAGAAGGCATTTCGTCTGCCCCGTATAAGTGTTAAGAGAGAATCCTTCAGCATGTGCAAAAGATGTTACTCTCATGCTAATCTTTGCACTTCCTCAAGTAACAATTTTGATAGCAACACATTACCATTTAACTCATTTGCGGCGAAAAAGGTCAACTTTCATGGCACTGTGAAGTTTGCTGGAGCTGCCGCTAACTCGAGAAGCAGTCAAAGGCTCTTACAGTCATTACGGATAGTCGATCTAAACATAAGCGAGAATAAACCAAGTTTTCAGCGGGAAAATAGCCTGAGGATTTGCCCTATGGAGCTATTCCCCAGACACACAAGGAAAGCTATCAAGAGCCATCCTGTGAAACTATCAAGGCCTGAGCTACAAGCCACATATCCTACACTGAAACTCGCACCTATCGATAAAAACGCAATTTTTGCTTTATCACCGTCACTGTCTTTAAGTGTCGAGTCCTTGGATTCAATCATTGGTGGTGCGCTTACGCTCACGCAGCCACCCCCGGACATTCTTTCTTCTTGTTCGCCTTCAGAGATCGATTTTACACCTCCTTCTACTCCTTAGCAAGTGATGGAGAAATACAGAAGATCCAGGACGCTCGCGATACAAGTCACTAATTCAAAATAGTTGCATAGATCCTCAAGATTACATGTCATTACGTAACATTGAATTCACCTGAAATTTAGGTTCTGAAATTTAGTTTCTTTCAGCTGAATCTGAATTTGACTTGACTGAATGTTCTCAGATTTGGCGTTCAGTCATTTCGATTGAATTTTGGGATATTGTTTCAACGGAAACGTGAATAATGCACGGGACGAACACTACAGAACCTTGAAGACAGTTAAATGACAGTGAGATTTAACAGAATTTTGCTATTCTGTTTCTTCACACTGATCGCCTGGTAGTCGTGCATTTTTCGAAGAAAATTCCAAGAGTTGTACTATTTTTTTTTTAATTCGAGGAACAAAACTAATTGAAGCGAAAGGAAATAACTCTTTATTCTCCTCGATATGCAAATTTAGAAATATGCCATTGCAGGTGCTTGTGTTGTGTATTAGAAAAAAACAACATGCACAACCGGAGAAAAATACATAATCACGAAAACGCAAATTTAATGGACTTACGTTGTGTTTCCACTGCAGGATATTTTCAAATGTGTTTCCATTGTGAATCAATTAATCTTAACGAAAAGGCGGCAGAACAAATGATTTTTGTGATCACATTATAGCAAAATTGGGCAGAAATCCATGTCCCGCCAGACGGGAGTACATAGTATTTTGGAAAATATCTGTTCGAGTAAAAGAAATAACCATTCAAGGTTTTTTGGTTTCATGCTCAAAGACGAAGTGACGCTAAGGAAACTGCTTAAAATCAAAAAGGAAAACTAAAACACTAATAATTACGGTTTAGCGGTTTTCGTTTGAAGTTTTAGCGGAGATGCGATTCTAAGTTTGTTTCGTACCTATATCGTTTACGAGGTGGTCGGACAAAAACAGGATTAGAAAAACATTGTGATCAACTTCCGTAAAAATAGAAACAACAGCTCGCCATCACATCTTTGTGGCACATAGAATACCTAATTAACATTCACTCAAACGGTGTTTTTTTGTAGTTCCATAAATTTCAAAGCCAAAAGGCGATATTTAGGCATATTGACCTGTGTGCCAATATCTTTCACAGCGTTCATTGTTTGCAAGCAAACAAAATTGACACAGTCGTGATATTTTTATTTTTGTGAAGAGGATTGTCCATTATGTTTGTTGGCGAGAGAACATATTTTTAGACCTGCAGTTTCCTTTTCGATCAAAACGTTTGTTTTTCTTTCATTCTCAGAGCAAACGTATTTGAAATTTGGACATTCAAGTCGCTTTTAATGAACTGTGCACTGATAAATGTGACGCCATTTCAGCAAAAACTAAAATAAAAGCTCTTTTAATTTATAGATAGTAAAAGTCTTATCATTTTTTGTTAAGTGCGCATTTTTTTTTTTTAAATTTAAAGATCATTTTGGTTTTATGACTGAGAGACCCTGAACTGGTTCTCTTACAGCAAAAAAGATTTCTTCTTTTCTTTACAGAATGAGATCAATTTTGATATTGTAGAAGGAGCCTTTCAGATATACGAGTCTTTCGTCTAATTTGTTTGTTGATCGTGCGTGGGAAGACACAAAGTGGACGAGTGGATTAGATAAGAAATTACGGTAGCTTGTAAGATACCGTTACCATAGTTACTGAATTAATCGAACTAATTATGCAGGCATTACTGTTTTTTATTTCTAACTTTCTCCTTCCGATGTATTAAACTTAAAAAATCCTTTCAGTTTAGTCATTAAAATCTCTAATTTCAGCACAATTGGTTTTATAAGCTCCCGAATATGAAGGAAAAGACATAGATGACGAATTAAGTTTGGTTGACCTACAAAGCTTTTGATTTTAATCACAAAATGAAAAGCGAAAAAGGAAAATAATTTCCTTCCTTACCTCCTGCAGAATCGAACAGCTTCAAACATAACTGAGTCAGATCAGGTTTTGTTTTGCAGATTTGTTATTTTATAATACGAAACTGTCTTTCTGTAATGAGAACCAGATGCTCAGAAATTCTGGGATTGAACCTTCCGGTTTTTGCATCAAAACTAATCAAAAAGCGGAGATTGCTATCCCCCTTGATACCAGTCCCTCGCAGCATACATTTTATGCCAGTTTGCATCAAACAGTTATAATCGGAGAGATCGAGAGACAGGCACCGTTAGGTGTAAGTCAAGCACCGCAACGTTAACACACGCAAAACACAGCAGGTGCTGATCTATACCCGTTTCGAGCACATATTTATGAGAATGACTCAGAAACCAAAGAAAGGGGACTTTAGGGTTATTATTATGTGTTATTGGTTATCATAGCTGTTAATTGTGTGCTTTTCTTATATACTCATACATAAATTTATTTATTTCAGACTTCCTTAATAGCGTAGTAATAGCGTTTTTTTCTCTCTCTCTTTTTTTTTTCTTTCTTTTTATGTGTGCCTTTCTGCTATCTTCCTGCCCTGCAATATATTTTCATTTAACACTGATGTCACCTGGCTGCCTGGCTCCGCTAGCCCCTATGGTTATTCCAGGCAGCCAGTACTATAACTTTTATACAGGATATTTTGTACAATTGGTAAATTATGGTATGAGAGAGTACAAATAAAAATTGTTCTTGTGGTTAAGTTTTAAAGTCCAAAGCATTTCCTAGGAGAGCATGGTCCCGGTTCCCACAGAAGCTTGGGCCTTCGGCGCTCATTGTTTCAGAGATCCACCCCCATTTATCCTAGATCCGCGCCTGCCCTAACTATTAGGTCAAGATTTGACACTCGCCATGAACTTTTACTATGAAGCGTGACGAAACTTTACAGATATTTATAGTAATTGCTTGATATGACTTACTTGAGCCATTCGTTATGAGCTGTCCAACCATTTATTGCCACAACTTTCTTCAAGTTCTTCTCTGTCTCGTCTGAACTGAGCCACAATTCTCCAGTGGTGTCGGCAGCCAGGAAAAACCTGGGAAAAGATAAATAGCTTAGACAACTGACAGCATCATTAAAAAAAGATACCTTTCCCCCTTAACGTTTAATTGACAAAATCGGAATGTAATTCCACTGGTAACGACGTAGCTATTTTCGGAAATATGTGTACACATAAGTTTTGTTCACGATGCACCGATAGTCTCATTCATCAGACATTAAGCATCTATTCCAAGAAAACCCTGCCTTTAAACGATCTCTTGTGTCCAATAAACAAAAACGAATAGGGGGATAGAGTATAACGTTGGCCTAGAGTTATATTATATTATTGAACTCTTTGTTTGACAATTTACTTATGAAAATTTGTTCACATTTTTTCGAGAAAATTTTATTTGTTTAAAAACTTGAAAGGTTATGTTTGTCAAAAAAGGTAACAAAATTATCATTGTTGTTGCTATTAGTAACTCAATTAGGATTACTGCTCACCTGTATAGTCCACTCTCTGGCGCCTTGAAGAAACCTCGTATTCTTGAGCCGTAATTATCGTCAACATTATGTGGTGCGTCGAATTTGTCCAACACCTCAATACTTGATGGGTTGTTTGGGAAGTTTGGATTAGAAGTGAGATCCATTATTCTGTAGCCAGGGATGTCTTGCCAAACTTCACGGATTACACCAGCGAATGGATCACCTCGAGAAGAAAAAAACAAAATTGGTTACCAACTGTCTACATGGTACAAAAGTAGTTTACACAGTCTGTTTTAAGTAATTAAATGAATCTTATCTTGTATGCTGTAAGTGAAAATTTTCGATCTCTTCGTTCATTTCTGATTTATGCAATGATCGAAACTGTGCAGAATTTTCTTTTTTTGTGAATTTTGAAAAAAGCCGAAGCGTACTTAATGGATTTCCAATAATGTTACAAAAATTCGTCTAAAGTTAGAAAACTTGAATAGAGAATTGTAGCTCAATAAAAAGAACAAAACATGAACCATCTGAATTAGGTACATACCAGTCCGAATAATTCACCTGCATAAGTGAAACATGCAGAATTGTAATCTAAAATTATCTTTCTTGTCTGTCAGTACATACTAGCATACAGCCTCTGTTATCCCCTTTCCACTTTATTAAAATCTTACAGTTCGTGACGCTATTTACACCGTGAATAAATGACAATCTGTATTTATTCTTTCTTACCCGGCATTCTCCACTGTAATATTTCTTTCGTGATAGGTCTCATGAAGCGACCGCTGGGCAAACGTACCCCAGCGGAGAGTGAGTCGGTTGACTCTGTGCCCTTCTGTAGTCCAACGACGTAGTAATATTTACCAGCCTCTAATGTAACAGATTTGGAGCTTTGGCCGGCATATCTATGGAAAGCGCAAAAAAAAAAGGAGACAAAATTTATTGATTAAGGTTCTCATTGCCTTATTGATTAAGGCTTCTTGTTGCTCTTGCTTTGAAAAGGTGACCGTGGTTTTCTTACAAAAAAAACAAACAACAAAAAAAACACCCTTGCTGATAGCTTGATTGCATCGTTGCATCTCGAATTTGGATATTCTCATTAGAAGCCCTACTTGAAAGTTCCTTCTTCAATTTGCCCTTGCCACTACCACACGTCATTGATATAATTATAGGGAGTGAAGTACAAATAGAGCGGTTTTCAACTGAGTGTCGTAAAACCAAATCAAACCAATCTCTTACCAATCAGACTACTCAGCCAATCTCAAACCGTAGTAAAACCAAAACCAAAGTAATTACCTGATTACTTTCGACACTCAATTTAAAATCGATTTATAGTAACACAACTTACTTGTTCCACTGGTTGTGACCGGTTGCTTGATCTAGAGAAATCAGTTTAGTCAGGTTTTGCTGGCTCTCTGTACTACTCATCCACAGTTCACCGCTCTGTGACCCGGACATGTAGAAAGTGTAGTTCCCAGTTTCCGGAGCCACGAAGTATCCTTTCACCCTACTACCGTAGTCTTTGTCAATGTCAAAAGGAGCGTCGAAGTTTTCAATGATCTCAATAAGCGAGGGGTCGTTAGGGTAGTAGGGATCGTCTTTGAGTTTGTTGATTGATTTTCCGGGCAGCTCTTTCCACACTTCGCGAATAAGGCCTGGGTATGGCATCTCTGTTACAAAAGTAGGAAAGAAGCGTAAGTGGTTACATTGCAATCTGAGGTGGAACTTGGACAGTCATAAGGTCACATTAAGCAACTATTAGGCTCAAAACATTTTTTTAAGCGACATGGAGTATACAGTTAGTACACACTGATTCGCCAAGAAGGAGACAATTGACTACCATACCTAATTTTCTTAATTTCTTTTTGTATCGGTATGACACCACAGCAAACAAAATTACAAAGTATTTTTTTTCATAACAGTAGCTCAGTGAATCTCTTGTTGATAAGGCGGAGACATTTTGGGACTAAAATAACAGCTGACTCCTTCAAAATACGTTTGAATTTTTTTTTATGTATATACTGTGACACTAACTCTTTCCACTGAATATTTTCTCGACATCTTTCTTCTCAAGGAACCTCGGGAAGACTGCGAGAGAGCCAATGGAGAACTCTGCTGGGGAGTAGTCGGGTCCAACATTCTTACGACCGACAATAAAGTCTGCACTCTCGGTCACCAAGTCACGTGGTACGCTCTTAGGAGTCTTGGTCCAGCCTCGGAACTGACTGTCAGTGTAAAGCCAGAGACCGTCAGATAGACTCCAACTCAGAACGACACGCTGCCATCTGGAAATGAAGGAAAAAAACACCTTGCTTGTGAGTAAACTTGGCAGTATCAAAAAATATAGTTAACCAACATATATACACATGGTTAAAATGTTAGTTACAAGAGAACGATAAGGTTACATTTGCAGTTACAAGTTAATGCAGTTGAATACTAAGGAAGTAATGTCCTATAGTGCCAATAAAAAGTGTAAAAACAAGTTCTAAGAGATTTTTACAGTAGCTATTACCTGACAGTAAAAATAGACGTTCTAACTGTCCAAGTCAGAGTGTCCTCATCAGTACTCATGGCAACACTGAAGTACAAATTATTGTTAAGGAGATATGCAGACAGGCCTCTGGTTCCCTTCTTATGGCCACCGGAGTCCAAAATGTAATGAGGCTCTTTGTAAGTTCGTACAACCTGTAACATGCACAAATACAACTACGTTGAATCAACAAATTTTGAATAAGTGAAACTAGGGTTAATCCTCGAGTTTCTATGTGCAGGCCGTTTTACATTAGGCAATTTAGAGCTGTTTCTTCAAGCACGTTCTATCAATAAAGGAAACTGACTGTTATGCTTTGATTACTTCAGAACCATCCATCTTGTTGTGTGGAGGCACGGTGGCCTCATGGTTAGTGAAATCGCTTCTGGATCAAGCGGTCCGCTTTCCAGCCCTGACAAGGACATCGCGCCGTGTTTTTGAGCAAGACGCTTTGCTCTCAAAGTACCTCTCTCAACCCAGGTGTGTGAATGGGTACCGGTGAATTTAATGCTGGGAGTAACCCTACGATGTACAAGCATCCCATCCAGGGGGTAGTAGAAATACTCCTAGTCGCTTCATGCTACAGAAATTGGGATAAGCTCCGGCCTGATGGGCCACTTGGCAGGTATGCAGACTTTATCTTTTTACCATCCATCTTGGAGTGTAAGTTTCAGCACGAATTAACAATTGTTAAGGGCATCAATGGTGAAAAATTCTTATAGTCTTTTAAACGCTTAGCTGTTTATCAACTTGGAGTTGATAAAGGTAAATTAACCACCGTAGCAAAGTTGTGAAGGTAAGGTTTCGAGCATCTGCTTTTAGTAAGAGCCAAGTGAGTTACTATACTTTAAGGAATAACGCACGAAACGTCGACGCAGCTTCACAAACTTGCTATGGCAGTTTATTTAGCTATATCAACTCCACATTGACAAACTGCTAAGTGTTTCACCTCCCCACCAACGAAGCATAACAGTTTCTTTAGAACCTAACTCCTTTACTTATTGTTTTTGTCCCGGTTTAACGTTATAATCTGAAAAGAAGTCAGAAGAAGCAGATCCTGTAATTGTCTTGACAAATACAGACGAAAAGAACTTTGATTGGGACTGAATCTTACCCGGTTGAACTTAAGTTTGCAGCTCAAGCTGAGTCCATCGGGACACTTGGAAGGATCATGAAGACATTTGCTGTCAAAGCTTCCAACTTTCAGGAAAGATCCCTGACCATCGAGATGTACGCCTCCATCCACTGCTCTCACTGGTCCGTTTACTTCGATATCTGGGCTGCCTGTTACTTTCTTATCTTCAAGCTTAGGGAAAAGCCACATGTAGCGTGGAACAACTATGGACATGAAAAATCAGGCGAGTTGTTAGTGGAAAGGATTTGCCATATCATGTCATGTAGTCACATATGTACAATATTAGTTTAGCAACATGAATCTATATCTTTTGTTTTCAGTTAATAAATAGGATCTCACCATCTTCTCCAGAGTGGTCGAATCGTGTAGTGCAATTGTCGTATTTTACACTTTAAAGTTGGTTGCGAGTGACAACCCTTGGATTAGGAGGGAAAAAAGCTTTGCAACCACACAGGAAAACGAATGAGGAGCCACCCTCTAAAAGATAGAGCAACTATCTTGCGAATTACAAGGGTGGAAGCTGTAAAGGATTTCAAGTTATTCAAATCCAATATAACGTTTAGTTTGATTGTGGGTTTTCTAAAAAAATGTCTTCGAAATGAGACGAGTACTTATAGCGAGTTCACCTCAAGTAGATTGTTAGAGCGGAGGTTTGATCTCCACACATAGCATCGAAAGCCGCGCACCAAACTGTTCCTCTCAGGGTAAATACTTGTAATAATTAATATGAAATGTTCTCCAGGTTAGAAAATAGGGCATCTTACCTGTATTATCAAACGTAAATACATACGGCACATCCTCTGGTGCAAGGAAACGAGTGAACGCGTAGAGCGAACTGATGTACATTCTATGGAAGAAGAAACATCATGCTGTGCCAATAGCTTATACAAAGAAAAGGGTTTTAACGTCTCAGTAGGATTGAAAGTACGGCAAACTTTCATCGGTAACGAGCCATTTTGAAACTACTTCGCAGTTTGAAGCCTAAATAAGGCAAGTCATGCTTGACGTCTGTTCAACGGTCTCACTTAGAATTCCTATATCATCTACATGCTATTTTCTATTGAACACACCAGAACTCCGTCAGGCCATTTATCATTTTTTTTAATTGCAAGACCTAAATGTTTGTCTTCGGGGTTTCTAAGTGATTAGATTCCTTGCTAGAAGGACCTGTAACTCATTCAAAATCACTCTTATCACCAACATCATTCAAACGGTAGTGGCTACGTACCTTGTATACTTAAAGGGCGGGTTTCCACTCTTTCTACCAATGGTAAGTCGTGCCTGCTTGTTCGGTATCAGACTTGTTACTGTTCCATCCTTCAGAGAGTCCCTGAATGCTCCATTAACATAGAGCATTAGCCCTTCCTCTTTCTTCCATGTCAGCGCGATATCCTGCCACTCATTGGTTACGAGCTCCATTGAAAGTTGCCATTCTTTTGTCGAGGTCACAACCTACACAGTGGATCAGTTTTATTGTATGATGACACAGCTTAAATCTGCAGCTGAGTACAATTAAAGGTTGGCAAAAATAATGCTTGATATCCTTATTTGACCATTTGCATCCACTATAATAGAAACACCGATATATCGTTGTTTACCGTCATTCTTACATTAGTGGTCGCAGTGTGCGCTGTTTCGTCTTATTGTGTGAAATACATTGGTTGCTTGTAGATTTTGCACCATCTTACTACATATATTTGAAGTGTTGGTTTGTCCTAATGAAATCTCACCTTGTAAAACAAAGAGCCATTTTGAATGAAGATTGACACACCTCGCGAGTTTCCGCTAGAGTCCAAAACATATCGTTTGTCTTTGTAAGACAAAGCGTCGTCGTCGAAATTAAGCTAAGGGAAACAAATTCATCCAACAGTTAATTACTAAATTACAGGTAAATTTAAATGACACAGATATAGAGAAATGAACCTGGAACGCAGACAGTCGTATAATGAATTGCATCCAAACGACTTGAATAATGTATCTAAAGTGTACTCACTATATTTATGAATTATTTCCACGATCAAGATGTTCCACCCGTCGTCAGGATAAATTCATACAATATTGTGCATAAAACTGCCTAGCAACCTATTCTTTTTGGCCAAGAAAGCTCAAAAAAGTGATCTTAATCCAGTTTTTGTTATTTCATCTCCCAAACCCCTATGCCTCGATCTTATCATGATCAGCACCAAACGTTTCTTCAGAGCCTGTAATATACAAATGGATTTGATACCTGTAACGCAAAAGAGAATCCCTTAATACAGAGATCAGGATCACCCAAGCACTGTCCATAGTAATCCCCTGCGTCAAGCCATGCATCCACTCCATTGAGTTGAAGACCACCGTCCACTGATTTCAAGTTACCATGGGTGGCAATTGGGTTTGATCCGTGAATGCGGCTGTTAAAGATCTTTTGCACCGTCCATAAGTATTGAGGAGTCACTACGAAAATAAAGATCGATGTTATCATGAAATGTGCAGTTCGCATCAAGATGGAAAGATAAATCTGCAGTTTCTTCAGCCATTTTTGCTAAATTTAAACTTAAAACTGTTAACTGTAACCAAGTGTGAACATTAAGAAAACACGTGCACCCCTTTATTTATCTGATGAGAACAGGTGATTAAAACACATTACATCGCCTTACAAGAAGATATGCCTTGATGGCAATCAGAATTATCTCTTTAAGGTAAATTTTCTTCTAATTTTCAAAAATTCTGCTTTCTCACCTGAATGCCTTCCAAATATGGTCACGCTTGTATCGATGTTGGGATTCAGTAATGACTTGTTAGAGACAAATTTCTCAACTTCTTGAGTCAAAGTTGCGTCTACAATATTAAAAGACAATACGATAACAATATGAGATAGGGTACCAAGTGAAAATTAAAAAAAAAAAAAAAAACCACCTCTACTCTGTACTAACCATTAAGTGGATGATGAGGACCTTTGGGACCTGAAAATATAAACGCTCAATAAAATTTATTGTCAAACTCACATCGGTATGGGCATTAAACTTAGTTTAATCTACAACGTTTTCAAGAAAGGGTTCCTGCCAGTTGACCTAAGTACAACACTCAAACGGGCAGCAGGGCAGTTGGACCAGAAATACTTATACACATATTACTTTGAAGGAATTAAGACGAAGGAAAAATTTTTAGCAAATATGTATTTCAAAATTCAACACTATAACGAATACATTTTATTTAACGCAAATAGTCCGATCATCTAAAGACAAAAATAAGCAAATCATTGTTGTCGTAACTTTCATTTGAGTAAGCTAATGCTATAAACGTTTTACAGAAATATTATTGAATTTTAATTCCAAAGATTTTCCTTGATATTATCACTATTTTTTCAATTCACTTACTTGGCTTTTTACAAATAAAGCTATACTGGCTCTGACATGGTTCGTCGTGCCACTTTCCGGTCCTCGTCACTATCGCGCATGACACACCACCATTGTTAGGTGACTTGTCGTCCCAGTTGGTGTAAGAAGACGTCATGCGGTCACTCCAGACCCAGTCTCCCTCGTTGTCAATATCATTGTAACCAATCCAGAAGTCAGATTTAGAATACACCTAGGCACAAGTAACTGTCTTTAGTCCAACCTCGCCCGCAGTAAGCACTTTATCATCAAGAATATTAGTAATATAATCGGCAATTTATTTCAAGTTTTGTTTTTGAGTAGTTAACCAGCACGGTGGGACATACATTCAGACTGTTGAAAGCAAAGTTAACCCTTCGTTGCATGGTTGCTTAACATGAATTCTGTTTATTAAATTATTGACGACGAAGCTTTCTCGAGTTGATGTTTCATACCAATTTATGGGCAATACATTGCATTGGAAAACATTCTTCAACTTCATACAGACCGCTTTGATAGTCTATGCCTATGTTGCATTTGCAGTTCAGGTAAGCCCATCGTTTTACTTCATCGTTGTATTCCTCACAAGAATTCAAATCAATTTGTCTATTTCCTATACGTACACATTATGAAAAATGCAACGCGTCTGAAACGTTGTGATACCTGCGATATCATGGTTTCTTCATCATCACTGAGTATACTTGCTAATGACGCCTGCTCATCCATGCATGCCACCAGCGCATGCTCCCACGTTTTTGGTTCTTTGAATAATTTATAACATCCGCGGACTGAGTTAAGGGTCAGCTTCTTCCAGCCTTTATTGCAATCTAAATTTCATAAAAAATATAAGTACTGTAATCAGGACTAAGACTTTGCAAAATGTATAAACGTACCTTAAACAGCATCAGCAATTGTGAAGGTTGAAACTTGTAGCGTAAGTAATTTAGGTGTTGGTGTCAAGTTCAAATGGATCGAAGCAGTTGGTGAACGTCGATGGCCTCCTTATTTCTGTTGAACTGACTACGTAAATGTTCTTTTGTCGAGGGAATAATTGCTTAAAAGCCTAGCACTGGCAACATAACGACATAGGAAGGGCATTATGTTGTTGTGTTTGCAGTGTGAACATCCTGGCATAATAGCATGATAGCTACATAGCACCATGAACATAACGACATGAGGAAAAAAGAATATCTTTATGTCGATGTTCACATTACCGACATGAGCGATTCTGTCGTTATGTCATCAGTGTGAACTAGGTCTTAAAGAGCATTTCACAGTAAATAAATTGTGATTAATATTACAGTCTACAAAATATTCTTACCTTCGGCCTTTTTCTTGCAAAGGTATTCGTGAGTCTGTGAACATGATGCATCTTTCCATTTGCCTTCTTTAGAACTTAGCAAGACACAGTCTCGACCTTTGCCGTGATCGTCCTTAGCACTGCTGTCCCAGTCGGTAAACACGGACAGACTTGAGTCACTCCAAGTCCACGTCCCGTCCCGGGATTTGTCCCGATATCCCAACCAAGATTCAATATTGGTGAAGTTTTCAAGAAAACGTTGTTCATAGGCGTTAGTCACGCTGAAAAGATCACCGCCAAGACCTTTGCATGTGTGATGAGCGTTGTCCCATGTTTTATGTTCAAAAATCTCCTTGTAACAAAATGAACCAAAGTCACCGAGAGCTCCAGTCCAACCGGCGCCGCATTGAAGGTCTGCAGTAAAAACAACACGCAATTCTCGCTTACATATCCTTTGAAAACATATCTAGTGTTTGGAATATCAAACATCTCACTTTCTTGAGGAAAGATAGAAAGGCAGATAACTCGTATTTACGTGTCAAATAAATAATACAAATACCCGAGGGAAAGCCCTCTACTTATAGGGGACATGCCATCCTTCTCTCAGAAACATACCAAAGGGGCCTTTAATTTTCGGCTGTATGGAAGAAATAGTCTTATCACGTTTCAAATTCCTTGCTGTTGAAAATTTTTTGGACAGCATTTTCTCAACAAACATTTTTCATGTCGTAGTCATTTTTTGAAAATGTTATATCAATGCTATATCGGGTTGAGCAGCCTTATTTCACCTTCTGTAAAATGAACTTCACTTACAAAACACTTTTCCTGCAGCTGCATAGACCTGATACCACAGCTATTTTTATTCAAAAATGACGGCGTTTGAAAGTTGGTGCCAGCCTTGTGGAACATTGATTATAGTGGTAACAGCTATTGAATTGACCGTCAAAGAAACTTTGGCTCCATACTCATGACCTACCTGGTTTAGGTCGAATTAAGTTCTTTTTGCCAATGTTGTTAGTTGGATTGGGGTTTGTTTGAGTCCTTTGGTTGATTGGATCGCTCTGCTGTCCCTCTGGTGGCAGTGGTACTGGGTACCACGGGTAAGGACACCAGTTATCACCATTATCACACGGTTTCTGTCGGTAACGTTTAAACACCAGTCAATAACAATAGTACAAAGATAAATGTAAGTTTGACACCTTGATGTGTTTGACATGACGTGATAAGAAGTTTAGCTCATTTATATGCAACAAGATGTACATGACCTCGATAGACGTGGTAGGGAATGGTGCATGGTACAATTCCTTGTAACGTGCATGAAGTGAGCGATATGTATGACGTGAACTGTTTAGAGATAAAGACGATTTTGGGACGTTTTAACGCACTCTTTTAAATAGTCCTATTTTTGTCTTAGGCTCGACAGGATGACTCATTATAACACTCTCTAAATCAACTGCTTAACGTTTATGATCTTACAGGTTTATTGTTTTCTCCTCTCTTCCATCCTATTGGCAACGGGAACGGGCTTGGATCCTCCAACAACTGGCTGTCAATCGGCTGCATGCCATTGCGGCAATAAAATGATACAAGCTGAGCTTAGTTCGTCTTTAAGCACTCACCTTCAGTCGATTAAGTTTTTGATACTCGAGCATAACTTTTACAACATAAGATCTTGTTAAAATTTCATTGTTACCATTTAATCAAATCGAAAAATCAGTATTCCACCCGACATCTTGTGGGAATTTGATCTCATACTTTCTCCAGTGCCCAGAAAGTCGGAAACGTTGGAAATTAGATAACTACATTGGTAAAACCTCAGTAGCAAAACTCAGCAGAACAAATTTGCACTGTCTAAGTAAAGGCAGTTTCTGTTTCTTTTCCTGTTGTTCAAAACACTTTGAGTTTATTCTATGAATTTCAGGTACAGCGCGACTTTTATATAGGTGGATTTTAAAGTTTACATTTCAAAGACACTGTGACTGTTAATTTCATGGGTACTGTAGTAGAAGGACTGAGGAACCTTATCAAATCACCGTATCAAATTATTGTCACGGTTGAAAAATACGAAACTAATCAAATACATCTTGCAAGGTAAATTTGCTTTACACAAGTAACATTTATGCAGCTTTCTCATTTAGGCTAAAGAAGAAGAAAACCAAGAAGAAGAATTCTTAGGAAGAAGATAGAGGACGAGGAGAAGGAGACGCAAGAAGTTTAGTTCATGTACGTGCACGCTGGTAGAACGTCATTCATTGTTAACAATGCTAGCAATACAGTTGAATCTCATGCAACGTTGGCATTTAAGGAAAATGAACGCTATACGTGTCAAAAAGTCGACAAGTAGATTTCCGAGGGAGGGATATTGATATTTCGATTTGATTGGTGCATAACAACGTGGTAAAATTGCCGATATAATTGGATCAACGAATCGCGTTGTTTCGATGGCTTAGAGTACCATCAGTAGCAGGTGGGACTATTCGTCCACTGCTTAGTTCTCAAACGACTAAACGAATTGGTTCAATGATAGTCTCTTACGAAATAGGAAAGGAAAACTACTGCTTTTACAAAAACAGTGGTAGTCTATCCCAAACGATTTCTTGTTTTTGAAGACTCTTGGTGTGCCTTTACGCTCTAAAACTAAGATTGTTTTTAAGTTGATCTTACAGTGTCGCCTGTGTCTATTGGAACGTGCTGAATTCCTTCTGGTGGCAATGGGATTGGATAAGGTTGTCCGCCCTCTGGAAACCATTGACGAGTAACCGCAGGCTGTTGACATCACAGTAATTTAATACCATTCCCAATACAGATTACACTATCAGAATGCTCTTTGATGCGCAGAAATAGAATCGCCAAGAACGCTGAAACCTCCAGAAACCAAATTCGAATAAAAAATCATATAAGAGCACATGGTTCTTTACATAACCGTGTTTCTTGACGTAGTTTCGCGCGGAGGAGAGTAAACCTCAACGTAAACTTTACACCACTTTTTGATAAAAAGGGTTGACTGATTGTAGTGGATAATGTTACGATTATGATTACGATTATGATTATGATTATGATTAGGCTTATGGTTATGGTTATGGTTATGGTTATGCTTATGCTTATGATTATGATTGTGATTGTGATTATGAGAAAGTCGACATTNCAAAACAAGGTCAACTCTAGCCTCGCTGCCATACAAAGGCCAGGTCACTGAGCAGACAACTGTAAAATAGTCTATTAAAACAAATTATTGTTATGAATGTCACTGAACATTATTTAATCTATTTTTCTATAGACAGGGTTAGTATTTGGTTGCTTATAACATTCAGGAGGCAAATCAACCCAAAACAAGCTGATTAAATTTGGAGTTTAAAGATACACAATAGTGTGATTTCCTGTTAGTCTAATTTACAGATTAAGTTAAATGTTATTCCTTAATTTGTGGTCTAATACTCCTCTTGTTCCCCTCTTTCCACCGCCCCAGTCTCCTTAAGCAATTATTTTTCCACCGTTATCATACCTGTTGCTGGTTAGCTGATTTAGGGAGTGGATAATAGGGAGACTGTGCTGATGGCAGAGATCCTCGAGCAGAGGCCTGGGAACTAGTCTTGATGAAAAATAAGAAACAACGAGTTAATGTTACCTAGTTATGTGATAACGGTATGGATTCTTGTTGTTAAATGATAGCTTTCCAGTTAAAAAAATAAAAATAGATAAAGCACGATTCCTTCCTCGTTTGAGAATAGAGGCGTCTGAAATGGAGGCCTGAGACACTGAAAAAGGGTTAGGCTTAAAAATGAACGTATTTGTTTCAAACTACAAATGATTAGAAAACAAACTAACTAATTATATATCAACATAAAATGTGAGGTCTACACAAGTAACAATGACAAAGTACCTTTATGGCATCGTTGTTGTTTTCGCTTCCTTGGTAACCATGGTAACCTTGGTTCTCCTGCTGTCCTTCAGGGGGGATGGTGAAGGGATATATTGGTGGCGCAGGATTGGACCTTGCTTGACCTGTTTTCAAAAGGTTATCGTGTGAAATGTCTTGTTCGGTTAAATGACGTTTGTCGTTCATGTCTACCATTTTTAAAACGTTCAGATAACTATAAAACCTGGATTGATTGGCTCTTAACGGGAGGTTAGTAGCAACTTTCTGCACTTGGTAAATGCTCTCTTTTGGAATAAGTCCTAAGCTGATGCTGTTTTAGTGATTTGTTGTTATTGTGACATACTCCTGTTAAACAACATTATCTTACACATTATGATATCACTGCATTATTTCTCCAAGAGTTTAGTGATAATATTTTCCCCATAGCATTGACATGTTAACCCATTACACGAGACATAACAACTTCGCGAGACACAACTTGGGCCACATTGGCAGCAACAACAACTTATTTCATTTAAGAATGACAACAAAGCATTCCAGCATCGGTTAAATGGTTAAAAAGGAATTAATGCATCGAACTCTGCCATCTTGATTGGTCATGATAAAATTAATTCTTACCTTGGTTCGGGAATGCATTAACGTCACTTCCGGTATACCTGGAGGTTTCGGTAGCTACCAAGTCATTGTGGTTGAGAGGCGGAAGTTGCTGGTGATTTAATGGCGGAAGAAGAGCCTCATGCTCATGACTCATAGGGTACGCATGCTCAAGAGGGGGAGTCAAGGGAGGTTTACCAACGTAGCTCTGTATCATTTCACCTGGGTTAAGATATGGGTTAACATACTGCTGGTTAGGAGAAGGAAAGTTAGGTAAGTTAAACTCACTGTTATATGGAGGTTGGCTAGTTACTGGATTACCATCATCAAATTCTGTACCGTTTCTAGGTTGATTAGCAACCACGTTAAGACCCAGATTCTGTATCTGGGAAAGTCCATTACTGTTTGGTTTAGCTGCTGCTTGATTAAACCTCAGGCTTTGCGTTTGTAGGTTTACATTTGATGTCAATTCGTTAGCTATCTGATTAGGCGCCAGACGCTGTCTTTGGAACTCATCGTTATCCTTTGGTGGATTTACATTTGTTAAATAGGGTAAAATTGGTTCCTGGGGCTTGACCGGGACTGCATTATAACTATTAATTATTGAATTAGTCCCAACACTAGGAGTCTGGGACACGTCAGTTGATTTAAGTGAATTAATTCGGGGATTCCCAGTGTTAGTTAGGTTATTTAACGTTGGGTTAAATTGAACAGCAGATCCAGTGAATCTTCCAACTCCGACCGATGGACCAGGAGTAGGAACCCGAACTTGGAGCGCCTGCCTGTTTCCAAAGTTGTATCCTTGTGGTTGCGGCGTTGGGACATTTTCTCTTGTTTCAGCAAGAGCATCTTCTAAACCCTTTTCTAGTTTTCCTAACGAGTCCACAATTTCAGCCTTTTCTTTTGCAATTTCCAGCTTTAGTGATGATCTGTTCTTTTTGTTACCTGAAACGTCTTCATTCTTTACAGCCGGGTTTGTAGCGATGGTGTTATCAGGTGGAAAATTCCTGTTGCTGGTGTTATCGAGCCAGTTCTTTGATGGGTATGAACTGGAATCTTTTGTGGCATTTGTCTGCCAGTTGCGCAGAAAATTTGCAAGCGGATCTCTTGCTGTTCCTGTTGTTGATGATAATGTTGTGCTCTTAATTCATTTTTTTGATCAAAACCGAATAGGCATTTTATCAAAGGTTCAAGGTAATATATAGTTTTATTTTTTTCTGCTGTAAACATCCAAGATAATTTTGCAGTTTTTTTTTTTCTGTAAAAGTCCAAAATAATTTTTGTAGAGTGCGTCAAGAAATGTAAACTTAAAAAATCTCAGGTATTAACCAAGATGTCTTGAGAATAGATATTCAAATTGTTTGGGCCATGCCAGCGGCATCAAAATTTTATAGAAATAATACAAAGACCACAAAGAAAAGGGTGGCCTATCGCAAATGAAAACAGCCAAGAAGCTCGAAATTCAGAACAAACATTTATACCTGATGTGCCAGAGATTCCAAACTTGACTGCAGTAGTTGGGGTCGTCATACCTTGTGATATTTGGTCAGCACTGAGAAGATTTTGAAGTTCTTTTGTATCGTCATACGCGTAGGGAACCAAAGCTTTTGACTGCGCATTTTCCACCCATTCTGGAAGTGGAATTTCTTTCCTATTTTCAGACTGGTCAACTGTTTCGTTTTTAACGTTAGGAATAGACAACGGTCGATCTACAAACTCCTTCCCTTGAACCTCTGGTATCATCATATTGTAGTAATTCCTGAGCAAAAGAGCTCCGTTGTTTGCAAATGATTGGTTCAGAACTCGTTGAGGTGCGAAATAATTCGCAGTGTCAGCACTGTGAGTTTTTGACATTACTAAAGAACTTCTTCCCACCCCATTTAGGTCTACTGGTAACTCTGGATAAGATTGCTTACCATTGTTACTTGACGACGCTGCGTTTTCAACCTGCGATGTGAAAGAAGCTAAAGCATCAACATTTTGTGAAGATTGCTTTTCAAAGCTAGCACTTGGAGCTTGTTTAGCCTGCTCCACGCCATGCATAAGAGGTGGCAACACTGCCGCCTCATTATTGCCATGATTCAAAGGCGGTAAACCATTACTTTCCATTCCGTGATTCAATGGTGGCAGGTTTTCGGCCTGTTCTACCCCATGATTTAAAGGTGGCAGATTGTGAAAACTTTGAAGGGCGTCAGTCCCGTGATTGAGCGGTGGTAGATTGCTGGCCTGTTCAATGCTGTGCATTAGGGGTGGTAAATTCTCCGCTGCTTCCTTTCCATGATTCAGTGGAGGCAAAGGTGAGGCTGTCTCGATGTTATGATTGAGCGGAGGTAAAGCGCCAGCCAATTCTATCCCGTGATTCAATGGTGGTAAATTCTGGGCCTGTTCCGCGTCATGGTGAAGTGGTGGAAGCACTGAGGCTGAACTTGGAGCCGAAATCTTTCCTTTTGCAGTTCCTTTCTGTGTGTCGGAAGATGACGTGTCTGTGTCTGAAACATATAATAGATATTCCTCTTGTTGGTTTATGCATGCAGGACTACTTTGCAACTGTCTCATGATACCTATCTCCCATAACCCGTCCTCCTTATTCCGAATCATGATGGTATTAAATCAGTGGTACAATGTTAAAATCTTGGTAAAAAGAAAACCCAGGAAAAACTAATTCCTTTCGAAAATTTTAACCACTCTGAATTGACCAAGAAGGTTCTGGTTTCCATCTCAGCCCAGTCGCAGCTGTTCAGGAATGACCTTCACATTGTACTGTGATAAGCCGAAATGTCTTTTGGCATTTCTTGAAATATCTACTACTAATATATCCTGTCCCAATAATATCTCAGACTCAATAGTCTATCTTGACGTTCTCAACTAGCTCTTGATCAGTGAAGGAGGCTAAAGTAAGGAGTTTCACGATGCCCCTTGTTTATCTCTGCAATACCTCCTAGCTTTGCATTTTCGAGGTTAGATATGACCATGAAAGGAAGAACCAAATGTCAGGCGCGGGAAATACCTTAATAACGAACTGACTGCCAGAGTCTATGGCACTGTTAAACTTGACTGTTTCCACCAGAGTTGGTGACGAATTGGTAACCTAATTTTCCTTACCACTTGGTTTAGAAACCTGTCCTCGGAAGGCTCCAGGAGCGGCGATTCCATCGTCTATGTTTTCACCACTGGGTATTTTACCCGAAATTTGTACTTCTGGAGAGAAGAACTTGTCCATTGGATCATCGCTTGGCGTTTCATCAGCACTTTCCAGTGACGTGGTGATCTTTGAATTCAGTGAGCCAAACAGAGGATCCGAAGAGTGCTGGTCCTGGGATTGTATTGAGGGGCTTGTGAATGCCTCGTTAATGGCAGCTGCTGCATTGTCAGTTTCCGTGTTATCCGTCGGTAAACTAGCTGTTAAGGAAATAGTCAATTAAGTTATACCAAATGCATGGTTGGTAATATACGTAACTGATACGAAGTCTAGAAACTTACAGTGTTTATCTAACAAAAATGAACGAAAATGGTGACAAAGCGTTAGACGCAAAAAGATGCGAAATTAAGTTTGACATTTCCGAAGATACTAGTTAATGGCAATTTACAAACGACCTCCTTTATATGCTTCCAGCAAAGTCTGTAATATGTAATTGGACTCATGTTTCTCTTGGCTGTGATTCTGGCCTTGCAGAACGAAGTGGATCTTTGAAGCCTCTACCACCATTGACCCCTCAAATGTATACCAGCATGTACTATTATGACCTGATTTTCACTGCCTTAGCTTGTTCAGGGTTGGTTAGCCGACTTTGGATTATGCGAGAATACTCGAAACGGGATTCATTACCTGGTAAGAGATCTGAACGGGACGCGTCTGGGTTCATCTGTGCGGGTTGCGGGACTAGATTTGTGATCGNGGGGGGGGGGATACTCCCTTATATGGGCTATATAGGTATGTGCGGCCCCAAAGGGTAGGGTTTTTCAGCTCTTTTGGTCATAAATAGGGTATCGATTTTGGCCATTTTGGTTATAAATAAGGTATGGTTTTAGCCGGGGGGGTGGGGGGGGGGCGAGAATACTCGAAAAGGAATTCTTTACCTGGTAAGAGACCTGAACGGGACGCGCCTGGGTTCATCTGTTCGGGTTGCGGGACTGGATTTGTGATGGCGGGATTGTTGGATCTCTGATTGTTAGTTTCTAAATAAAATACAAGATCAGATCATTATTGTTAACCTGCCAGACTCAGTATTTGTTGGAACAATGATAAACAATGATAAACAATGATAACAAGAGTTCCTATTAAAAAAATATGCAATACGTAAGGATAAGAGTGAATTCTTGTCTTGCCAACGAATCAGTCCAAAGCTAAGTTTTGCAATAATGTGAGAATATCTAAATGATTTTGTAAAAACTTTCTACTGTGTTTGAAAAGTAAGGCTGGTACAACACAATGAACACATTCGACTTCGCCACTTCTAAATTCTTAGTTACCCACAAGATACATTCAACGGTGTAGTTGTGGCCCGCTATTAGTTGTTTGTGAATGAGCAGTGTGGCTAGCTCAACCAGGCGGTAATGGGCTCAGTTGGCGCTTGAGTTATTGTCCCCTTCACAGGATAGGTCATTTCCGAGTTATACCAAATGCATGGATGGTAATCTATGTAACAACAGTAGTCAATTTGCTTCTTTTGTGATGTACATTTCTGGTGCCAAGTTTGAAGAACACCGCTCCAATATTTCCAGAGATATTCTTTATTCAGTATTTTAACGTTTTAGTTGCAAACCTTGTGATGTCATCACTATCCTAATTTGCACAATATAAAAACATCAATATCTCGAAAACGATAAAAGATATTCCAAAAACGAAAACGCCATTCTTCTGTATTTTGAAAGCCTTTCAAATGAGCAGCAATTATTTTTCATTTCATAGGCACTTTAACGAAAATGAACAAAAATGGTGACAAAGCGTTAGACGCAAAAAGATGCGTAATTTTAAGTTTGACATTTCAGAAGACACTGGTTCATAGCAATTTACAGACGACCTCCTTTATATGCTTCCAGCAAAGTCTGTAATATGTAACTGGACTCATGTTTCTCTTCGCTGTCATCCTGGCCTTGCAGAACGAAGTGGATCTTTGAAGCCTCCCACCACTATTGACCCCTCAAATGTATACTTGCATGTACTATTGTGACTTTTATTGCCTTGTTCAGCGGTGGTTAGCCGACTTTGGATTATGCGAGAATACTCGAAACGGGATTCATTACCTGGTAAGAGATCTGAACGGGACGCGTCTGGGTTCATCTGTGCGGGTTGCGGGACTAGATTTGTGATCGCGGGATTGTTGGATCTCTGATTGTTAGTTTCTATAAAAAAGAAAAAATCAGATCATTGTTGTTAACTAGCTAGACTCAGTACTTGTTGGAACAATAATAGACAATGATAACATGAGGTCCTATCAAAATGATATACAATACGTAAGGATAGGAGGGAATTTCTTGCCTTGCCAAAGAATCTGTCTAAACCTAATTTTGCAATAGTGTGAGAATATCTAAATGATTTTGTAAAAACTTTCTACTGTGTTTGAAAAGTAAGCCTGGTACAACACAATGAACACATTCAACTTAGTCACTTCTAAATTCTTAGTTACCCCAAAAATACATTCAAGTGTAGTTGTGGCCTGTTATTAGTTGTTTGTGAACCAGCAGTGTGGCTAGCTCAATGAGGCGGTAACCGGCTCAGCTGGCACTTGAGTGATTGTCCCCTTCACAGGGATTTAGCATTCGCCTGTGTTTCAAAACCAGTCCTCGTGAAAAACCTTTCATGTGAAAATAAGTTTGATCGGCATGAAAATGAACCTGTAGGCGGATCACATTTTCATATGAATAATGTCACAGGAAGACTCGTTTTCAAACAGAGTCACAAGGTAACGGACATAGACTATTGGTTACCTGGTAAGAGATCAGACCGGGATACGCCTGGAGTCATCTGTGTAGGTTGTGGAACAGGACTACTGATCGCAGGATTGTTGGTTATCTGACTACCAAACAAGTTCACAGCACCAGAGGGAACGGTGCTCTTGTTGATTTCTAAATTGTAGGGATACATAGTTATAGAATAACAACGAAATGGATGAATAATACAGATTAAAATTTTCTCTTTACCAGAGCAGCAATTTAAAAAAACAGACGTTTGAATCATAATTTATGACATTTCGCCTATTTAGACATTTTTAGTGTAGAGCCTGGGCGATTGAGTGAATGGCTATTCGAATGATTTGGACTTACTGACTGACTCAGACTATACGAGTGAGAGACTGATAGGCTCAGTTATTGAATGAGTGGGAGATATCCGAGTGGATATATGAGTAAATGAGGAACGTGAGTGGGCAACAGGTGGCAGTTAGGCATGCGCAATACGTGAACATGGCAAGCAAACAAAGTGAGAGTTGGTAATGGTATAAACATGAGCCATTTAGCACTCCATCGTCCCTGAAAATGTAGATAGATAGTTAAACAGATCAAGATAAAACCCAAGTATTTTACGGTAGATGAAGTGACTGATTGCATTATGATCAGTGAAGTTATTGAAAAATTCCGTTATGTTGAGTGGTGAGTGTAAAACTTATCTAGAAGTCTATAACAATGGAAACGAACCAATATAGCTACAAGCTTCGGCCCCTTGAGGACTTATCTAATTTAGAAGATATCAAGGTTCTTTGCAAATGTGGAATATAACTAGCTGGGGGAAAGGTCATTGTCTTGTACGCCGTGGTAAATGTCATGTCATGTCAGAATTAAGGCGTCCTTTACTCGTTCATAGCAAAAAAAAAAGCAGAACAAAACAAAACAAAACAACAACAACAACAACAACAACAAAAAACTAAATCAAAACCAAAAAACAAAGAAAATAAGCAAAGAGGATATTCCCTCTGATCTGTAACCTCTGAGAAGCTTTTCTCAGATGAAGTGAAGATTTCTCTCGACGCATGGACAAATGCTTTATTGACTAGTTCGTCGTTTTTTTTCGTTTATATTTGAAATATATTTCGACAGCACAGTGGGTGGTCTTTAATTAAGCCCGTTAACTCTCACCTTCGGCGCGTGTATTGGAATCCGTCTTAAAAAATCCTCGCAATTACTGCGACTGAAGTTAAAGAAATCCCATTTGCTTATTTTCGGCTGAAGCGGGTTTGTAACATGTATTATCAGAGTACAGTAAACAGTCAAGTCGACGTCATTTAGATTGCAACTCAGAGAGACTTTTTACTTCTGTTATAGGTAGATTTTCTTTATGGATGAGATATATAGCATCGAAAAAATCCATTAACAATTAATGTACAAGTCCTGACTTATATTATTGATAATGACAAAGAACATCAATTGGTTTTTCGATACTGAACAATTTTGTGCACTGAGTCTGAAGGCATTAACATGATGTTATAAAATTAAGAAACGTGGCCTAAATTCAGCTTGGTTTGTTTGTAAGAAGGTAATTCGGGATTTCTCTTCCTACTTGAACTGAAATGAACTTAATGGCGAATAGATGCAACGAACAATGCATCCGAACGTTGAGTAGAAAAAATGCCCGTAAAGCACAACACCTTAAAAAGTAAAAGCTAACACCACTTTCATAACAGGCGTTCTGTCCCGTCAATGACAGTTGACAACAGTCCAACACCACTAATGGCATTTATCGTCGAGATTTAAGATATTTCATGTTTACAGATATTTTTCATCGAGATTTAATGCATAAAATCGGTTTCTCTTATTTCCAATTTGCTTTTTTTTCAACACGGCTACGATCGTTGCATGAACACTAAGTTAAAAAGTCTCTCTGAGTGTTGGTCGGTCTGTGCGTCAACATGCCCTAACCTTCTTGTACTTGTTTATACAGTTCATCCTTCTTCTGAGCCATGCCGGGAACGATCTTGCGTAGTGACAACGGAAAAGAACCTGGGAGAGGTTTGTGATTTGACACCACCACTCCTAAACTACTTCCGGGGATGGCGTTTTTAAAATCAGCGGAAGTAGAGTTGCCTTGCTGTGGCTCGAGACGTGCAAGTAAACCTAATGCTGTGAGTAAGTCAGGAGCATCATGCATCAATCATTTTAAAAGCGTTATATTAATAACTGTTATTGTTTTTAATTTAAAATTAGCAGGTCATTTAATTTAGCACCCTTAATAAATAACCACATTTAATAAAAATACCCCTTATGTTTATTTATGTAGAAGAAAAACACATCGGCATGAAGGCTTTGTGAATTGTCTAGGAACTCTCAGAAACTCTTTTCCACTCTATGCTTTACCTTCTTGATATGTTAAAGATAATGCGACGAAACAAACACGAAGAAAATTGCTTAAATCATAGCAATTCTCCAGCTTTCCGCCATAGAGGAAAAGGTAAACCAGCTAGTTCACGGTGTTAATATTTGCGCTTAGTTATATTTTTCAAATAATTATGTTATTATTTTGTTACTTCAATCAGTTTTTTAAATGATCGTATTAAAGCAGTAGTATTGTAGCAACGCTTTAACGTTATTTATGCAATTCACGTAATATATTTGATAACATCGCAGAGGAAATAGCCAACGCAAGTTTTTCTGTAAACTAGTTGATCACTTTCGGTTGTCTGTTGTTCTTTTGTCACCTGCAGTCGGCAAACCTAGCATGGTAATATCATTCTGTTAATCACGAAGAATCACTTCTACAAAGCATGCCGGCTTTTGTCTTTCGTACAGTTAAACTGTATTCTTTTTCAAACCATACTATTCTTCGTTTTGTTTTCACAAGTGCTCGCAGTTTCGTTCTTTAAGGTGAAAATCACCTTGCCCGCGTTTTTTATTTGTCTGCAGTTGGTCGCAGCAAGCAGTAAGTGTACACAATTCGGTTGAAAATGGTGGAATGACCAATTAACGTATTTCGTCCTTCAGTTCTTTAATCAAAGGAAAACGAACATCAAGTCACAACTTTCACGACAACAGCTCCAAACTTGGCAACTGGTGAAATAAACAAACATAGGTCTCTGGTAAGTTATTAAATTTTGAACGTCGGATAATGCATTTCTAGTTCTCTGATTGAATCTCTGAATCTCGTTTTCCAGTCATTACACCGGTGTTGGACTATATAGGAAAAATGAAGGCGGCAAGTGTCACCGCGTCGTTTAAACCATTTCGTCGATAATGGAAAGTTCTGTCCGGAGAAAAAAAAGACTGAAACAGCAGATTTGGTAAAACGTTCCACGGCGAAAATACAGGAAATAATATGCGATGTCATTCCGGAAACTTGAAAAAGCCAGAAAATGTCACAATTAACTCAGCTACCTCAGTAGTATCTGATGGAAACATTTTAATCGAAAAAGCTTGTAGTTGTACAAAAAATTCCACTGAATGAAGAAGAGCAGCAAACAAGTCATGGCAAGACCCAAAAACCGACACAATATCGCTCAGTTAGTGAAAACAGACTTCCATAATGAAATTAACACCAGCAGTCCAGTAAAGTTTGTTACCTTATATTTGGGTCTTGTCCTTTCATGGTTCAGTGAACTCGATCGATTCTGAGCAACAATCTGTTGATTCCTGTTTCTTTTGACTTGATCAAGGCGTATAATTTCATTACCTTCCTGTAAAACTTTTCTCGTTTGTTGCAATTTTCAAATTTGTCATAGTTTCTTAATATTACAATTTATTACACGGCTGTGTCTCACAAGGACTGGGAACTACCGAATTCACGTATTTGATTGGCTGAAATCGATATATTGACCGCGGTCTAGATTTTCCCATCTAGACCGGTTTCATTTTACGGTGAAAAAGTTGCAAACTAAAATACAAAAGTATTGACTATTTTCTTCTAAAAAGATTAGTGGAAGTGACAAATAGCCTGACGAGAAAAAAAAGTAAGAAGGACGAGCAAACTTTGGCAGATTTAAGTTCAGCTCATCGCCGTTCGCAAGCAAAATGTCAGCTAGTACAAACCAGTTACATTTAACGAATTAATTTTTTCTCGTTTGCCATGTAATAAATATCTTATTAACCGAGCTTAGACGATCTGAATGGGAGAATCTTGACCTCGGTCGTGTGTACAGACCTCACTGCGTCCGATCTGTATTCACGACCTCGGTACAAGATTCTCCCTTAAGACCTCCTGCTCGGTTAATAAGAGCTAAATACGACTGCTGCGCCGGCAGTAGGCTTTTCCACAAATATCACGTAAAGTCGCCTTAATATCTTTTCGGAAATTATCAAAGTTTTTCAAAATACCACAAAACGTTTTCAAAATATCCCGAAAACCCTCTAATATCTGTTATTTTTGTCTCAAAAATAATCCGATTTTAAAACTCAGGCTAAATTTTTCGAAACTTCCCTGCAGTAGTAGGATTTGACGAAGAAGATTCAGGCGTTCGATGTTAGCAGCATCCTTAATTTTGGAAAACTGCTGCTTTAGCGCTTTTAAGTGTGTGAGAAAATACTGAACTGGATTGTTTCTGGCATAGAACGGAGTATTGTTTGAAAAAAAAATAGCATGGAAGACACGGGGAAAAAAGCTGTGAAAATTTCTAAATATTTTCTGGCATAGAACTGAGCATTATTTGAAAAAAATAGTGTGGAAAACACAGGGCTAAGCAAAAAAAGAAACAAAAACAAAACAAAAAAACAGTCCATCCCTGAATTTTCTAAATATCTCGAAAACTTCTAAATGCTCCCCAAAATGTCCGGACATTTGTGGAAAGGCCTAACCGGCAGTTTGTTCAGTAGTCAAAACCGTTACTGTAGAACTGGCAGTGGTGCGCTTCCTTCAACTTGTGCCTAAATGATAGTTTTTTCTTTGCTTGCAAAACGTCAATCGAAACGACACAATATTGTTTTTTCTCCCTCAGGAAACAAAAATAAAGAAATTGTCGATTTCTATGTGGCTTTCTAGGTACCGAAGAACAAACTTAGGGTTAGGGTTAGGGGTTAGGGTTAACTATTTTGGTCAGAATGGCAGAATTATCTTACCTGTCGACTCCTGGTTGGCGAGTTGCCGGCCGTAGGAGACTCAGTTTTGGCGCCAAATGTTAAGCTTACAAGTAAACAATGTTCCAACTTTGCTATTTGCACCTATCTCTCATGTTTTTTGGTATTTTTAATCCTTTCAAGCGATTCTTTAATGAGGTCTCCAGAGAGAAAGTGGTCTTATTTACATTCATTCTTTGTGAACATGTACGTGACGTCAGTATAGTGAGGTTCTTTTTGCTAGCTGAAAGCTGATTGGTTAATTCAAATGTCGAAGGCACCGAGAAGGTAGAGAGATATTATTACACTGTAGAGATCTCTTGCTCTTTTAAACTGTTCATGGAAGTATAATTTTATTGAGAGGTATAAAATTGTTTCCGTTATTGTTTTCTTTCTCATTAGTAAGTTGAAGAGCAAGTAGCGTTATCCTTAAGACTAAACAAGAGACATTCCACTCAATAACACAAAACCTACCGCTTTATTTTTACGTAACCAAATATGTACCTATAACTACATAATTGCATGTTCCATTTGCCTATACATAGTTCAAAAATAAGACCAAAATTTTTAGTAATTGCACCTTCCAATTGGATAGCTGGGGTACCGAATTAAAACAATTTTGTAAACTAAAATCAGTTTCATTCAACGCGAAACGCGAATTGTTATTGTTAAGGTGAGAAATATTTACATCTAATTAGCGTTATTTTTTACAAATTGATTTGCTTGTCATTGCTTTGTTTGTCAAAACAACTTAACAAGCGACATCAGCCAATCTCCCAAAGGTGAATATTCATAAATCGCTCTGTGATAATGTGGCATTCCTAGGCTTCGTTTTAGTATAAAAAGAAGCAGCGTAGAAATTTAAGTCGTGTAGTTTAATTTGTAAACTGGATTCTGGGCCCAAGAGACACTTAACGTGAAAATGAAACGACTCTTACGAGTTTTATTGTCATGACAATTCAATCATCGAGTCCATTGTTTGGACAAACTTGTGCGCTTTCATCCGCTTCAGCTAATTCGTGAAATATGTGCAAGGTTAACTCTAAGTTAGCAATTAGTTTTATTTAGTGCAAGGAAAGACCACAGGTTAGGGATACCCCGGATCAACACTCGAATCTAACAACCCATTAACCTTTTCAGGCATATAAAACTGAGAACTTCAAAAGGAATCCCAGTCTCGCGAACACAGGACTAAACAGTTCATTTATCAAGATTGCGATGAGGGCCAACTCGCGGAGAGTCACCTGATTTAAATCCAGGCGAGTTTTATTTTAAACTCTGTTTTTAGATTGCATCAGGGGCCTACACTGTATTTCACGAGGTTATCATAGGTTATGTGTCTTCAAACGCTAACTTATGTATAAATGAATAACCGTTTTTACTCGTGAGATTTTATATAGAATGGCTTTTTTACTGCCAGCCATTCTTGGTTTAGGGGCGAGAAATCTTTTAGGATGTTAAGATGTTACACGATAGTTCCCGTTTCATCAGAAGATGATAGCCCGGCTAATATGCTTTAAAAGAGACAACGCTGCAAGCGTTTTCATTTCTTTTACATGAATCATAATTTTCGATCAAGAGTCAATTTTCAACGGCAAATTTCAAACAGAAGATGTTTTCTTTTAGACTTATCAAAAATAGTCACATTCATTTTTAATAGTAGTAGTTCGTAACTTGTGATTGGCTGCGTGCTTGCTAGTGAATTTTAATTGCCGTCATTTAAAAATAACTAAACTTCGAAAAATCTGGTCAACTAATTACTCAACGTGAGTTATGAAATAAAAGTGTTATTCCGGGGGTAGTCGTTCACAAACAAGACTCGAGACTACATATGGAAATAAAACTCTAATAGGTAAGGGTTTTTCAAGAATAGTGGAATAATCATAGTCCTTTTCTGGTATTGATTGAAGTTCAAATTATTTCAAATTGAATAAAAAGAGTAGAATGTTTTCTTCCATAAAATTCCCCATAGATGGTACGCTCAGGAAATCCTGTTTTCTAAACAGTCCTCGGCTTTACCCTCAACAACAAATCAGATACAACAGGTAGTTTCTGATGAACAATTACTTGATCATCTCATCAATAATAAAACGTCAATTTTTCGAAAGGAAAATTATAAAAATAAACCGGTTTTAAGTTAAGTTATGCCTATGTTTAAAACCAAAGTTTGGTCCAAAACATTTCATAAAAAATGAGTTTGATTTACACCACAAGGAACCTGTAACACTCACATATATGAAATGTTTTATAACAAAACTCGTTTTCAAAGGGAGGCAAAAAGCCATGTGACAGTGGCTCTTAAAGTAAATGCCACTTCAAAGAAAAGGGTGCAGGAAATATCGCTTCCTTTATTTTACTTTATAAAAAGGGAGAAGTAACAAGGTTAAATCATGAACAATTAATTTACATTATAATTTCGAGACTGTAAGTTCTATTTCCTATTCCCGTAGTCTTTCTTTGCACTTATTTGATATGACTGTTAGTGTTGATAATGTAAAGAAACTGTTGATCTCGTCAAGTTGTGTTGGTGTGGAAACAAGTCCGTCGTATACTGTATCGTTGACGGCGGGATTGCTAGCATAGCTTGTTTTTATTCTCAGCCACCTTAAGGCTAACTCCATATCGACCCATAGTTACTCGTCCTCAGGAAAGTAACTTCTTAACTCTCTCAGGCTGCTTTCCTGATCGCCTATTGGTTGTTAGAAAAATGCAAATCTGATGTTAGAAGCGTTGTTCTTTTGAAACAAAACGCGAAATGCAAACTTTCTTTTTATCGCTAGTTTGTTGATAAGAAGGATAAGGAACTTCTCCGAATCGTTACGCTTTTGACGCGGTTTTGTAAAGCGTCAGAAGGCTCATCTTCATCCGTTGTCAGCGGCATTTTCTCTTTATGATGACGCTGGTCTGAAACGTGCAGGCTCCGATTCATTCATGCTGCCATTGCTAAGGGTATCTCCGAGGATATCTTAAATAATATCAGATTTTTATTTCTTGAGTATGCAAGCTCTCCTTTCGCCAAGATTACAGTATACGAGGCGAACTTTGAATGGTAATCGGTATGTCACTGTGTAAGAAATTTAATTTAGTGGTCACATTTCAGGTAAATTTATTTATTTGAAGTAGGATTTGTTTCATTGACGGCAAAGAAAGCGGTCGGCGCCAAAGTTTAAAGTTAAAAGTTATGTTTGAGAGGCAGAAGGCAAATTTAAATTAAAAAACACAAAAACAAAAAACAGTGAAAATGCTGAGTGTAGACAAAAAGTAGCAAAAGGAGAGGAAAAGTTACGAAAAATGAAATTACTCCTAAGGGATAAAGATTACATATTATAAAGTGTATGAGGGCAGGTTTTGTGAAATGTTATTGACTTTCAGTTCCAGTGTGGTATGAGTCGTCACAGTGAAATAACAGGAAAATAGAGACGTGTAGAAGTAGAAAACAGACTGAATAACACCAAGCAGTAAAAGGAATAACAAAGAAAAATGACAGCAACTGCTTATGTTGTTGTAGTGATGGTGGTAGTGTCAACAGTGGTAATGGTGCCTTCAGCTATTGCTTTCTGAGAGTAGCACTGAAGCATCGACCAGCCAAAGTAGCAATTTCGGCAGTGAAAATTAATCGCGTTAGGTTTACTTTGCTTAGCGTCTTAGCGCCCGCAATAGAATTAAGAGCAGATTAAGGACCAAAGCGGTTTGAATTTATTGTAGAAAAGAACATTATTTTAAAAGCGGAGCCGCGTGTAAGTCATGACTTGATGTTGTTTGTTTTTTTTTTTCTGAGCACGCTTTTACCGTCGATCGAAGAAGTCACTTTATCCTACTTATCAACAGTTGAGAACACATTTAATGTCCAGTCTGGCAAACTCGTACCAGTCAGTCGTGGATTAGATAAGTAGAAGACGTAACGTTTTTTTTTTTTTAGGAAATTAAGATAAGCTGAAATTCAACTTTTGTCTCGAGTACTTTTTGTCAAATAAGTGCAATCCGTAAGCCTTTTTAAAAACTTGAAAATATGAATAGAAAGAAATAATACAGAGTCACATACCTTGTTGTTGCTGTTGTGGTGCCTGGCTTTGTACGATTTGGCTTCCTGTTCATAACGAATTGATGAAAGCAGAATTTAGCCAAATTTATGAAACGTGAATCACGTGCACCAAGAAAAAACGGGTGTGCAAAGAACTATGTAGAAGCGGGGTATCCTTTTCTTTAAGTTTTAATTGGCACTCTCTTTCAAAGTTAGATTTCAAGGATTCCTTTGACTCTTAAGTGGTTTGGAGACTATCAAAGAGTTAATGGTAAGCATTGCTACTGTTAAATGTGATATTGTGTTCAAAATAATTAATAAATAATTATTCATCGTTGTCCAATGGGAACATTAATTCTTCGAAACGTTTCATAATGACCTTCCAATTAAGCATGTAACCACTGATGTACTCACTTGCAGCGAGATCATCGCCAGGGGTTTGTGTCAGATAATCACTTTGGGGTGTGTACTGCGGGAAGACTGGTGCCGACTCTGGGAAGGCTTGTCCTGTCATATCTGGCAGACCGCTCATCGTGATATTCTGCTCTGGAATGTCAGATCTAAACTGCTGCTGAGGGAACTGGAAAGCTCCTTGATTGCTGGTTTCTGCAGGCGTTGCAGGTTCACTTCCTACGGAAAAATTAATCAAAGGATTTTTTAAATATCGTTCTAAAACTGCTTCTGTCTGTTGGACATTTGGTAGGTAGTATACAACTGCTTTATGCTGGAGGACAACCGAGAGGGCCACAAAAGACCAGTTAGAATGGAAGAGCCTTGTTGCCGCCCTTTGCGCCTGAGTGATACAACTGAACACGCCGAATGACTTGAAATGTAGCTATGATCAGCTACATTGCAACGAAAAATTAGGCATCGATTACATGACCTTTCAAAGGAAACCATTTAAAAATGGTTAACTAGGCAGGTAAACCAAGTTTGATTCTTTTCCATTGATTCTTCTTACCGGGCTGCGGTATATCGCTTTTCTTTTTTGCTAAGGTAGCGAGAGCTTGTATTTGAGAATTCTTCCATAAGATAAGAGGATCTGAATGTGAGGATATTAAATTAGAGGCGGTCTTCGAGCGAATAGGCTCCATCGATGCTCCGGTGCCCATGTTTCGAACGTATTCAAATGGGTCGACAATTTTGTTCTTTTTGTCCTTGTCGTCGGTAGTCATGTTTTGTGCTGCCTCTGGTTTATCCTGCCAAAATATAAAGAAGAAATTCAGGAACATAATTTTTTGACGACGGAGAGCACACTCTTACATATTTTTCGATCTCATATACATTACATTCGTCGCAGTTGATTAGGTTATCGTTTTCAGGTCTTTTTATGTCCACTAAACAGAACAGTTAAGAACATTTTACTAAATTATATCAACTAAAATGTCCAACTCACAGGACCTGTTTTTGAGAAACAGTCATACAACCTAACCCGTATCAGATGAGCAGCCACTGTCTCACTAAACTGGGCGTTTAATACAGTTTACCAGTATTAACCGAATAGTCAATACCACTTTACCTGCATCAATTAAACAATCATTACTTATTTTCTTTACCTGATTCTCTACCTCTTTCGCCGTCTCTGTTGCGTTATCTTGCTGTTTGGCCGGCTCATTTTCTTGTTGAATTGGCTGAATCTCTTCGGGCTGCTCATCCTGTGCGGCTCCCTCGTCATCGTTCTGCTGTATTTCTGCTTCTTCTTCTTCGGGTGTCGCCATTATGCCCGACCTGGCAAAGTTTGGTTGCTGCTGGTACTGGCCATAAAAGTCGGCCAAAGGTTCGTTACCAGTAGGTTGTGGATAATTATATGCGTATCCATTGTTGACGAACCCCATCATTCCATTATTGGGAGCCATCATCATATTAGGATATTGCATCATGTTTGGAATCATATTCCTCTTGGCACTATCATCGTATCCCACGGGAAACCCCATCTTCTGCAAGATGGCAGTAGCAGGAGGAAGTGGAATGTGAGACTTCTTTGATAGTTCCTGCTCTTTTTCTTCTGCTGCGCCCTCAAGCGCCTCGCCAAGCATCTTTAACGCAACACCTCGATACACATTAACAGCCTTGGCTATCTCTTTCAGGTCAATCTTCGGATACACTGATACTTGTGGAGGTTGTGGTCTCGGAATTGAGCTGTGTTTTTCGTTAGCTCTGCTTACAGTACCAGTTGCAAGATCTGTTGTTGAGAGATACATATAAACTGTTGATGTATTCAATCATATGTGTCGGAAATCAATTTTCAGAGTAACAAGTAGAGTGTGCAAGTCGTAGTTGGTGTGCAAACATACTGCTGTTATTGATAAAAGGGAAGAGACTAGGAGGTCAGAAGAAAACTGACATAATCTCAGTAATACGAAAAACGGACCACTACTGGAGTGTCGGGTTGCATTTAGATGAATTGTGACCTTGTTTTATAAACCGACTTATTGTTTAGTATCTCACAAGTTTGTGCGCGTATTTTATGTCTAGTTTAACGAAACTAAAAGAAACCATTTCATTTAAAATGGAATCTTTGCAAATCGTTCTGCCAGAGTATTAAAAACTGAAAAAGCAGCAACCATTACATGTATAACTACAATGCTATGCGATCCGACAAAGGATCTTGAAATAAGATGCTTTAAATGAGCATGCTGTTTTGTCAAGAATGACTGTTAGTAAAGTTGATTTGTAAAAGTACGATTGAGTCTGTAGTCAACTATTCCATATATTGCTGTTGTTTAAAAAGACACAAACACGGTGAAAGGGAAAAGGTCAGTACAAAGCAGAATTGACCCTTTCGCCTCAAAACACTGTTTACTACAATAATAGCTATTTTGCGAAAAAGAGTTTAATGGATTTTTCGAGTGCGAGAAATAAACAGTTAATGTGTTCTTATGAGATTTCACGCATTATAAGCAAACTAACCTTCAGCCAGACTTCCAGACCCGGAGCCAATCTCAGCCGCTCCAACAGTTGGCGACGCCGTGACCGGCGCTGCAGCGGCCTCACCAGATCCTGATGCTATCGCATTGACTTCATTTTTCTTCTGAGAGCCAGATGCCGCTTCACCGCTACCAGAAGTCTGTACGATGTCGTCATCTGAAGCTGATGATTCGTCCATTCCGGACGCGCCCGAAGCCGATCCAGAATCAGCTCCTGCAAATTTTGCCATCAGGACTTTGTGGATTGGTTGAGGAATCCCAGACTTTTTATATTCTGGGTCGTCATCTGCAAATAAGACAATTTCGAAAAAAATTATAGGGTGCTTTCCAAATGCCAAAGATTCCGGAAATTTCTTTCCGGAAATCAAATGGAAGGTGCGTTTCGGTACCTTTTTGCTAAAACACCTGGTGTGTTTGGAATCTAACTCTGTCGATGATTTAGGCTGTTTCCCGAAGCTTTCGGTAAAAGCCATCTCTCTTCTAAGTTTCTGTTCGTCTTGCAGCCTTTAACAATATGGGGCATTTTCTTTAGGAAGGTTGAGTTCTGATCAATACAAGACCCATACAATATAGCCAGAGTTCTGCACTCACCTTCATCGTTATCATCATCCCAGTTACCGGACCCGGAACTGGAAGCTTCATCAGCATAGTACAAACTTGCTGAACCTGAATCATACTCGTCATATCCCGACCCAGACTCGTCACCGTGCTTGACCTCTGTGTAGGAAGGATGGTGAATGAATGTCATTAGTTAAGCCATCTAATGAAGCAGATAAAAGAAGTCGAACCAGAAGACATTCTCTTCTTCATCTCTAAAGGTGAAAAAATGCAATGGTGTTTTTCTCGCTGAAATGGTCGTTTCCTAATTACTTATTACATTGCATTTTTTCTTTAAATTATGCTGACTCAGCAAAAGAACAATAATTCAAGTTAGGAGGCCCACACCTCTGGATTCAGGCTTCTGTAGTATGAACTGAAGCATAACTGCTTCGAATTCCTCTGTATGAGATGCTAGTTAATCGCACGTAACCCTAAGAGTTTGTGTTTTGCATCCATTTACACTCCTTGAGAGTGACAGAGTCCGGTGTTTTGCCTACCTAAAATCACTACACCGTCCCGGTCAGCTGTCAAAACCGGACTGTTCATCCGGGCACCAGCGAGCTAACCATTAAGCTACCGGACCTCCCTTGAACGACTTCTAGACTCACTGGCCTTGTATACACATTTTCACCAAGAATTCGAACAACGGGCAAATTTGCATTTTTCATAAGGCAAGCGCATATTTCAATGTCGCACTCTGCATATGACAATATTTATAACAAAAAAATTCCTACCACAAAATTTGCATGACTTCTTGCATTGAATCTTCATTAAATCAGGATATTTAGTACAGTAGTCATTCTTAGCCATTTCAGGGCAAGTATCAAACTGATCATCACATTGATCTAGTGTAACGGTAAATGGAAAATATAACGTTAGTGCTTAAAATCAGTAATTATTGAAAATCTTTGATAATGGGCCAATCAATGAACAATAAATATTACAACCACTGTTTATGGCTTCTGATCATTTTCTAATAAAGTAAAAGTACTGTCTTTTCTTTCTCGTCTATTATTTTTTTAACACTTTATAGTAGCATAAAAAAGTAGGTGGTAGCTAAATGGATAATCCATGATTCTCTCCGTAGTTAGAAATCAAGGAATCCCATGTGTTTCACTTTCTTAATCGCATCCAAAAGAACATTTTGGAACCTGTTTCGCCGGCCGCTTTATCTTGACCGGTTCTCATCCTACAGCGATCTTAAGAGACGCTTTCAGTGATATGAGTGGGAGTTCATTTTCTCCCGCACGGCTTCGAGCCTAAAATGACAAATATTTTCCCTATTCATCTCATTTTTTCAAAGGGAAAAAGAGAGAGGAACATAACATTATTTTGCTTAACTAAGTCTTCTCAAGAACTCTTGCAATCATGAGTAAGGTCTTCAAACTACTATGATACTATATGTACCTTCTTCTATGACAGGCTTTTTGGGTTTCAACCCCTGATAGACTGGCACAACCTGCAGACCCTGGGCTGGAATTCCTGTTGTCTCTTGAGGTATGGCTCCAGCCATAGCATCATTCATGGTTGTATCTGTTAAACAGAAGTGGATTAACGACGAATGCTCAACAAAGGCAGAAAAAAAGAAGACTAGTGAGATATTACCTTCAGTTATTTTGTAGGTACTTAATCTAAGTGCTGTTTGGTTCACTTGGCTGAGCAAAGAGTGCCAGAGAACTACCTTTTCATCATTAGGGGTTTAACGACGGCTATCGATAAAGCAATGAGCGACGGTTTATCTACATGTTTCACAACAGTATTGCTCGTTGTTAATGCGGGGTTTGGCCCACTTTAATTTTGCTATATAGTAATACAAAAAATTCTTACTCATTGGAAATGCAGCCGCGACATTTTCTGGCCCTGGCATTTGCATATTAGATGGAGCAGCCACCTGAGGAGCAAAGGCTTGTTCCGAAGCCTGGGGAACATCTCCCTGAGCTTGGTCGAGTGCCTGCTGCGGGCTCTGCAGTGGGGCCTCCGCTGGAGCTTGGGCAAGAGACTGTGATGTAGTAGGGGCTGGGGCAAAAGGTTGTGCAGCAGGAGGGGCCTGGGCTTGGTCTCCAAAAGGCATTTGCGCTGGGTTGACATCAAGGGCTGGCGCTTGGGGTTGAGGATAGCCTTGAGGGTTTGTTGAATCTTGCTGCTGCTGTGGTTGCTGCTGCTGAGGCAGATTCACCGTCAGCGGCCGCAGACCCCCTGCGGCATTGAGCGGTATCACAGATTTCTTTGCGGCCTCCTGGTTTAAGCCTGAAGTAACGAAAAGAATCAGATGTAGCGAGGTAAACTCATTGTGTCACACTAGAAGGCAGCATGACAATAACGTCATGTCATACAGTTAACCTAAATGCTGCTACAGAAAGTAACGGGCCCTTTGGACAAACATCATCAGACATAATGGTCATCCGTGGCATTCGTTTTGTTCTGGATGTCCCGATGCTTAACTTGTGACCCAGCATGGCTGATTTTTTACCAATGATGTGAACAGGTCGTGCAGAGGGACTAAACACTGCTTAGTTGACAGAGTTGATCGGGCAACTCGGTTAGGTTTAGTTTCTCCAAAACAAAACAGTCAACTTTCTACTCACCCGTATTTGCGATCATGTTCTTTTTCATCAGCTTTGAGTATGGTGAGTATTTATGAAGCTGTAATGGAAAGGAACCCTTGTACGGAATGGCTGCCTTAGGAACGGCTGGTGCCTGCGGCGCAAGCACCGGTGCCTGCGGAATTGCTGAACGAGCAGTTCCTGGAATGTCCATTGTATTGTTAACTGCCGGAGAAGAGAAAGCATGCGCAGTAAAAGTCAGTAAAGTGATAGCAAATTCCAGAAACCAGAAGATTGTTGATGAAATTAAAGGTTAAAGGTTCAAGGTTCAAGGTTCAAGTGAGTCCAATCCAAGAGATCAGGTGATCCTTGTGTCTCATCAATGCCGTTACTTAACATCTTCTCTAACTTGATAGGATGCTGGTACATCGCGGGTTACTCTTCAGCATATTTTGTTCTGGAAAGAACGAACTTTGAGCAAAAGCTATTTTCCGTTTTTTTAAATCTTCTCCTTCGTATAAAACAAAACCTTCAACCTCATCTCAGGATTACGTATTTCAACTCTATTAAGAGCGTAGGCTGGTCTATTACTTTAACATAAAATCCCGTATTCCAAAAAGCTTTTCTTGCTTTTATGGGCTGTTTATGTTGCACTCAGCATTGCCGTTGATAAGTAAGTTAGAAGTTATCACGATATGTAATCAAATCCTTAGCGGACTTACCTAAAGGATTGGAGAACATATCTGCAGCAACAGGAATATCTGTTTTCTTCACTATTGTGGGGTCATATAATGAATTGTCGTCAAACCCAGGCGACTGCTGCCCCACAAGGGCCGCAGCAGGATTATCAGGAATACTTTCCAAGGGATTTTGTGTTTGTGCAGGGAAAAAATCAGCATTGGGAGTCGACTGGTCACTGGAAGATTTGTCGCTCTCTTCTGTCTGCACAACTTTATTTTGGCTCTGATCCTCAGTAGAGGGTAACTTTGCGTCGGCGCCCTGTGGCGTCACCACTGGTGACGTCATGGGCGCTTCCGTCGAACTTTGTTGAGGAGCAGTTTGTGCTGCGGTAGAAGAATTCACTGAGTTAGTACTCTCAGGGGTAGCAGCGGGGGTTTCTGAGATGTTTGTATTGTCTTTTATGTCAGCACTGCTACTGTTATTAGAGCTGTTAGTGTTTTCGCTTGGTGTTGTATTGGAAGTCGCGTCTGTTTGTGTCGACGTCTGTGTCGCTTGTCCCTGTTGGTTGTCTGTCGTCACGGCTTCACTGGGTGTGCTACTGTCTTCGGAAGGCTTCGGCAACTCACCCGAGCCCGACCACAGTTCCGAACCCGAACCGGAAAAGTCGTCATTGTCACTGTCACTATCCTCGAGGTTGAGTTTTGTTAGACTTGTTGCGCTTGGATCGTTAAAGATCTCGCCGAGAAGAGCATCAGGAGCACTTCGACGGTCAACAGCTGACGTCGGAGATCGGAGGTCTGAAAGTTAGTTTAGCAGCGCTTTTGTTAGTAACACTGATGAGCGTTAATAATAGCTTTGTTAAGGTAATAGGGTGGAAAGAACATTCTGGAGTTAGGGTTGCTTTAGGTTATATAGTAGCATTAAAAGCACATGCAAACAATCTCAATGTCATTTAGGTATTTGGAATTATCGTTATGACAATAATGGGTTTCTGGTAGCTATGTTCCTAAATATACTCTCCGGGTAATCTTACCGCCAGCTTGTAAACTTTTAACATACTTGGTGTGAACAAAAACTGTCCGTTGCCTTGCAGATACTGAGAAAGATACTTGAGAAAGTCTCCTTACATCGTTGTTAACATAACATCGTTGGCATAGATGCATTTAAACTACTTGAAATATGTCTAATAACT